TAAAAATCAATTGTGATATCACTTCCTAGTAACTGAAAAATTGGCATGGAAATTATTATTTATTGTAGACCATGGTTTTAACTTCAAAATTGATCATGTTAAATCCTTCAAATTACCATCTACACCCCAGTATAGAGAATTCAAGGTTCCATTTTTCATAGCTAGGAATCAATTAATTATAACTTATAAGATTAAATTTAACTAACCAGAATGCATAACAGTAGAGGATGACAACTAATTGGTTCACTTCACATCTTGTTAAATCATTAACAATCATAATACAGGTGAGAGAAGAAAAAGAAAATAATGCACGTGATTAGAGACTAACAGGTGGTGTGAAAACCAAAGGATAAGCCGTGTGCGGCACTCCATGTCTAAATCGGCAATTTTTTCAAAAAGAGCTCGAACTGCACCAGCTATAACTGCAGGAAAGGCTCCAGGGAGAGCCTAAGTATAACTTTAAAATCAATACACAAGGAATTAGCTACTTGTAAAATACCAAAAAGAAAAGAAAATTAATTGTGATAAAAAGAGAAAGACATGAAGTAGAGAAAGGGATCAATCTGATGACCTGATCAAAGAGGACCAAGACATCCACAAATTGATACAAAAAGTCACATCCAGAATATACTAGCAACCAATATATACCAGTCAAATGGGAAAGAGAGACAGATGAAGCTGTATACTAACCAGCCATTCAAGAAAAAAAGCACATCAAGCAAATACTCCTCAACAACGAAGCAATCTATAGGCTGCAAATCCTATCAGGGAAAACAAATAATAAGAGGGAGCAAGAGAGTGGGGAGGGAAATCAGACTAGAACTAGAAAAATGGAAAGAGAAAAGGATTACTGCATATACTCATTCGTGGTCTGCATCAAAGTGAGATGCCACAGGTTCAAAATTTTTCCCCTTTTTTACCCATTTTTACTTGAAAAAACATACAAGGTTATAAAACAGAGCCACAGAAAAAGATTGATAATATATGCATACCACGAATGGCTGAGGCTGATACTAGTTTCAGACTTTCGGGAATGGCAAATTGAATCATCATACCAGATCAACATTGGACTCTTTTTTTTTTCGCTTGTAAAGAATTAGAAGTTAAGAATTGAACCTTACATTTACCGAACTAAGATTTTTGACTCATTCTTTAGATGTTTCTCCAAAAGAACTACCCTCATGATAGTTACAACTATCACAGACTGAATCTGAGATTATTAAGGTATTAAAAAACCTCACAACTGAACACCCAAGGATACATATGTAATGAAGTATGAAAATAGTGATCCACAATTATATAGACGACACCATTCTTGATAGAACTTACCTCTGTTTTACTAGCAGGGAATATGTTAAGTCTACATAACCTTTGAGGATACTTCAATCCTGCAATATACCTTTGTTCACCATATGTTATCTCAGAGAGTGCTGCAGGGGGATCAGGTAGCGCAGGGCAACTGATGGGCCGCAATTCATGAGACTTTCCAGCAACTAGCTGGGCCTCAAACGAAAGGTGAGGTCTTGGCACTAGCAAAGAAAAACATATAATGATCAGCAACAAATCTAACAAAATAGCAAGCTATCAGCATTTTTCAAATGAAACACACCTTAGTAGGAAAAAGAAAACACCAAAAGCATACATAAAACCATTAACGGAAGAAACTCAAAACCCCAGTATTTATTTTCTATTTTATTGTATTATTGCATAACTTAAACTTCCATTATAAGTAGAAGTTCTCCCCCCAAGAATATAAGATCGAAAAACCCATGTCACACACCATGTTCTGCAGCATAAGTAAATAACAGTACTCAAACACTGTCATCAGCACCAGCAGTTCCAAAAAAATATAAATGACCTACTGTCTATATCACCCATGAACAAATACATAAAAGAAAGGGGCAAAGAACACAGCACAAAATTAAGGTATTATCTTACCCCTATCAAGCTTCCATCCATTGCTAGACAGGACTTGAATCCATTCCCATAAGTCTTCAAGGAAATCCTAAAAGGAGAAAAAAAAAAAATTTCAAGCCCTTATGGACTTGCCATGCATGATATGCAATGGATATTCTAGTAAAAAAATGACAGTAAACCCAAAACGAGTAAATGCATTTGACAAAATTTGAAAACCAAAACATTCAATATACAAACATAAGATCTCAATTTGGAATAGAGAGGAAAAACTGCAAATGGAAACCATTACCTTTTCAGCAAGATCTTTTCCAGTTCCATCATCCTCGAAAAACGATAAACCAGTGTCAGAAACCTGCCTTCTAATGCTTAAATAAGCTTGAATACCAGCCATGACTCTCTCAATCTCTCAGGAACTTGCTGAAAAATGCAATTGCTTTTCAAAATATAAAGTAAAAATACAGGCAGAAGACAATCTTTTTAAACCAACCAAGATATGCATGAAGGCAATGAACTTCATGCTAATTCTCCCATAATAGTTATGCAATCCATAAAAATATGGTGCAGATGAATAAGGTAATTTGACAATAATTTCCAATAAAGAGAACCATTTATCCAACAGTACAAAAAGCATTACCTCAATAAGTTCAGCTCCTCCCCATGGGAGACAGGATAAAATGCAAGTTATGTAAAAGTCAGCACATGCTTGCCAGGATGGATTGCCTTTCTCCTCATCCACTGTTGTGGCAGATGATGATAATAACGTCTCAAAGACAATCACCAGAGAAGCAGGTTGAAGAACTTTACTGCATGTCTACAGAACAAAAATTACAAAGATGCCAATCTCCTTGATAAACAATAATAAAAGTTCTCTAAGATTTAAACTGTAACAGTAGCCACTTATTGATGCTGCTTTGTATCTTTTGTTTTGGTAATAATATTCAGCAAAAGAAAGAGCTGTAAGATTCCTGCATATCAATCTTGTTTTACCAAAGCAAAGCAAACAGATGACACACATTTCAGCAACTAAGCTTAAATGTAGAAATGCTGCATTCATTTGAAAAAACCCTATTATTACATGGTCCTGTTTCTGTACATTTTACAAGCAAAAATTGCCAAAATAGTGTTGCACATACCAAAGCTGTAAGAAGCCGCATCAAGATACGAACTCTATCACAACTCCCAGAGTCTAACGCATCCTGAAAAATCCAGCACAAAAGAGAGCGTAAAGGAAAGATAGAATATGTATTACAGGAAAAAATAGTTGTGTAAAACAATGAAGGATTTTTTTTTAATAAAAGGGAACAATAAAATTGCATCAGTACTTAAAAGCACCTCAGAGTAAAAACTATCAATGCAAGTACACAACTGTACTTTCTCTTCCTAAATCAAATTAGTTATGAGGTATAAACTACAAGAACACAGCTCCATTGTACCAAAATTACTCTCTAGCATCAACACTCATGCAAGAAAAAATAAATCCAACAGTGATATTAAAGGGAGCCCTCTCAGATCATTCCAAATCCCAAGAGGCCCTCAGAATTGAGAATTCAGATGATCAAAATGTTTACTAAATAAAAGATATTACAAATGCACACATATTACAAATGAGTCTCATCTGGTCACTGGACCATCAAAAAGAAACAACGGAAATTGTAGCCAAAGACTCCCAGATCCCAGTTACTCTTCACCAGTAGCAAAATATTGATCTAGCCACTCACACACACACACACACACACAAATCTTTTCAGATTTGAAGTCCAATGAAACTGTCATGGTAGTCATTCATTTGAAAGGCCAAGCAGTCCAGGAGACTAACAATTAAAAATTTCTGGACAGCATCATTAATGAATGACAAACACAATGTGGGCTGTTTGGGCAGCTTCGAGATCCAATACTGTAGATATCTTCAACTGCTTCAACACCTGAAATTCCCGAGAATGTTTCCTTAGGGACAACACTCCGACACTCAAGTTAGCAATACTCAATATTGTAGAGAGAGATGCTCTCCAAGAGTAATTGCAGAGAGAGAAGCATAGTGAGTTTAATACCTTGCATGGAGGTAGTTAGGGGTATTTATAACCCCATATACATGAGTTCAGATGTGTATTCATCCAATTGGTCTACGTGTTACTGCTTACATGAGTGTGTCTCTTCATCTTGGGCTTGTGAGCATATAACTGGGCCTGTTGCGTGTGGCCCGAAGCGAGTGTTGGGCCTAATCCCAACATGGGCCAAACTATAACAGCATATCATAAAAGATAACAACATAGCATAAGTCATTCAACTCAGCTGATTGCGGTTTTGTAATTTTGATTCTAGGCTTCTGGCATGAGAAATTCAGCTTCTCAAGGACAGAAACAAGGCAACCATGCAATGGTAATACCATAGTACATGATCTTCTCTTTTCATGTTAAGAAACTGTTTTCGTATTGAAGTTTTGAAGCTAACTCTTCATTAACTGAAAATGCAGTATGGTGCTACACAAGGTAGCCTTCATCCTCAGGGTGAGTTATGAAATGATTAGAAATTAATTAATGGTTACAATATTTGTTACGTCTAGACTTATGTCAAGTGTTACTCTGGTGTTGCACAATGTACTCCGAGGTGTACTGCTAGATACTCTGCTACAGCACACAAGAAGACATGCATGTTCTTTTGTCGAAAATGTTGTGTTAAATGCCTCCTGGTACTTACGGAACCAAACAATTTTGCCCTTGTTATAACAACTGGAAGACCGAGAAAGGAGGGCCAAAATGCCCATGCATATAATCAAAATCCATCAAGGTGTACCTTTCTATAACGCACATATAATCAATATTGAATCTATGGCAAATATTTTAGTTGATGTGAAAAAGAAAAAAATTATGGTAAATTATGCCATTCACTCCCATGGTCCATTCTGCACTCCCTAGCCATAAGTGTTCTCTTCAGTTTCTGTCTATTTCTCGACCTCACTTTTATGTGGATCTTTTTCCCAAGCTTCGAAACACTCAACTCAATCCATGATTCTAAGGATGTAGCACAATACTCAATTCCCCTTCAACAAGTAGATGAAAATTTACAAAACATTCACATAATTAAGAGGTTGAACATAGTACTTCATTGATAGTACATATTTTACAAAACATATTTTACAAAACATTCACATAAACAAGCCACACTTAATGCATTAAGAGAGGTTGAACTTATTTGGATATGTTACATATATTAATCAACCCCTATAACCTTCCTCGAAAGCCATTTCTTCTAAAGTTTGAGTACTTCACTTGGGAACCCAAACAATTGTCTCTACGGTAAGGAAATGGCAGATTGGGACAGTTCCTGGCTTAACATTGAGTTGCTTAAAAGCTATGTGCTTAGGGTTCCATGCTGATGTATCTTTATGGCAAATTGCCACTGCTTTAGCCTT